ATGGAAGGTGAAGAAGATGAAGATACTAATGCTTTCGGTCCAAGTGCCCTGACAATATTTTCATGTATTTCTATTTGTTATAACTAGAGATGTTCCGTGCGCATGATTTTTTTTCAAATAATGTCACACACAGAAAGTGCAGAAATTAAATTTTACAATATAAAGCTCGTAGTTGTATATTTGGCAACTCATTGGCATGGATGTCTACCAATAATGTGGATTTATTGGCCTGGTGGAAAAGTAATTTCGGAGCTGTGGCACCTGAATTGACAAAAATTGTGGTAAGAGTTCTTTCTATTCTTACCTCATCAGGTGCAGCAGAAAGGAATTGGTCTACATTTCTTATATATATGATAAAAAACGAAATAAATTGACAAATGATCGTGATTTTAAATAATAAATTGAAAACCCCAAAGATGTTACAAATGTAGGTGAAGATATTGATGATAGTGATGATGACGATAATAATGATGGTGATGATAATGATGGCAATGTTGATAGTGCTGATAATAGTGATATTGACAGTGATGATGAAAATGAATTATCTGTAAACATTTAATTTTCATAATATATTTTTAATAATGAATAAATGCATTAAAAAATGTTAAAAGTAGTTGTTGAGTGATTTTTCTTAAAAATGCACTGCATGAAATGCGCACGATGCGCATGAAATTTTGAAATTTCCCATCCCTAGTTATAATCAATCACAACTTCGGTGGTGTTAGATTTGGTCTGTCTGGTTTGCTATATACCTAACGATCTATCTCAACAGTGATAGATATTCATATGTTTCCTTTATATGATGTATCGGGCAAGCTTGAATATATTTATATCGGGAATATGTTTTATTAAATAACTATTTTAAAATTTTGCCATATATAATGATGTAATAAATACATGTATACTGTTAGTGACGAAGCCACCCAGCACAATAATCCTTTCTAAAAAAAAAAAGATGTAAATTTCGACAAAATTAGGCTTATCTATTTGCTATCTTTTTCACACACAATTTCATCCAATATATCTTGATTTTTCCATTTTATCGATTCTCTCATTTCGGCCATTGATTCTTTCATTTCAGCCATTATTGATTCTTTCATTTCGGCTATTATTGATTCTTTCGTTTCAGCCATTATTGGTTCTTTCGTTTCATCCTTTTGATTTTCATCCTCATTTAGGCATTCATCTATAAGTTTAAATTGAGTCTATGCTGTTGAAGTTGCCAGAAAATTGCCAGGTGCTGGTTCCTTCTATGTAAAGAAGGACACCTTTCTTGTTAAAGAGAGAACCAGTATAAACACGCATGCTTTGACAAAGTAAAAATCGGATTGTCCATTTAACACAATAAATAATAATGTTTGCAAAATATTCGGGAGATAAAACCATCCAGGACAAAATAGCATATATGTCCATAGTCTTATTCCTTTAAGCCACACAACTCTTCACCACACGCATTAAAACATATTAGCATAATCCAAATGAATGGTGAATTTGACAATATCCCAAATGATGTAATGAATACCATACTAATTGAATCAAAAGGATGTCTAGTTATAATGATAACAATCCAGAATATTGGAATGACTATGGCTGGGAACATTATCAAGAAAAGTTCAATCTAATCAAAACCGGGATCATCGCCGACTTTTTTATTCTTAATTATCGCGTACACTGCGCAAGTTACATGCAAAACCATGTTTACAAATGATAATATCTTTATACTCCGGCAAATCATCGTATGTGCCGATCATCTTAATGACATCAAAAATTTTGGCTAAACTTTAAAATGTATAAGCTCAATGACCATGCAAGATAAAAAAAAAACTCTCTATAGTTTTATTCTATAAGCCATAGGGAAAGATGAAATAGAGAGTTTTTATTAAAATGAAGAGTTA